TCTTCATGTTCAGTCTAGTGGAATGATTTACTTAAAGAATGCTAATCTTTTTAATAATTAATTCATTCAGTGAGTATTTGTGGGGTGACTTCTCTGGACCAGGTGCTTTTCTATGTGACAAGAAAATGTCATTGTACAAAAGAAAGTAAAGTCCCTTACTGCATAGAGCTCACATTCTAGAGTAAATATATATAGGGTCAGTGGAGGGGGGAGAGAGAGAAAGAGAGAGAGAGAGAGAGAGAGATTGATTTTACTCAGTTGCCTCCAGAGAGTCAAGTGCTACAGGTGTTGTATGTACATCATCTCATTTAATCATACGCAAAACCTGAAATTTATGTAAGATTGCCCTCAGTGTACAGAATGGGAAAATTGAGGCTCAGAAAGGTGAAGTGCTGTCCCAAGGTCTCAAAGCCCAATAAATTACAGAACAGGGGTTCAAATAAGTTATTTCTGACTGTAAGGCCCACATTTCTAAAACAGCTACCCTTAACTGGAAGAAGACACACAAATAAGGTGGAAAGCATCCTCTGTCCCAAGATCAAAGCACCCTGCGCCTTTCACTAGTGGACTTCACTTTGAAGGCCTAGGTCTTCCAGGACCTTCCTGATGTCTACTGTATGGGATTCTGCTTCCTGTAGAGATCTGTATCACTTGATTAATTTATTGTGCTTTCTAAAATTTCCAGATTCTAGATTTAGCTTCAAATGAGTTGACTTTGCTGCTTTTGTAGACTCTGGTCTCTCCTTCCTTAACCAGTCTTAAATGGTTCCTATTTTTCCCATTTCAATTGAACTTACAGGTTTTCTGGAAATCATTCATTCTTCTGTTTTTTAAAAAATTAACAGTAAAATATATGAAACTAGTGTTCTCTAGGCTGCTTCTAGGGATGAAATACAAATGCAAATAAAACAGAGAATTTGTCCAACTCTAATCTACCAGCTCTCTCCGGCTTAGCTGATCAGCTGGTCCTGTTATTTTCCCTCTCCTGTCATGTGCATGAATCTCTGAAGGTCTGATTATAATAACTGTCATCATTCCTTTTTATTCTTTCAGTTTTTTCAATTTGACATGAAATATATACACATGTATTTCCACATTTAGTTTAAGTGTGTGTATGTACATATATGAAGAAATTTATATATTTACAATTTTGTATGTAAATTAATGAAAGAAAATACAGATAAAGACAAAGAGAATAGTCACATATAAAATCTGTAAACAACTCAAAATAAACTGATTTATTAAATCAACCAACCAGTCTAATCTATGTAAAATAAGTTAATAATACCAATCATTTCATTACAAAGCTATTTGATTAAATTGAATAGAAATTCACATAATAGTGTTATGAATATAAAGTATATGGTGAATATGATGTTATTTTAATTGCATGTGTGTGTTTTATACATATACTTTATATATATATAGTAAATGTGACAGGTGTATTATATAAATAGTAAATGTTAAATATTTCTAACTTGCAGGAAACCCAAATTTCTTTCTCATATCAACTTGCAACATGACTAAATCTATTAGAGCTTATAAAATTTATTACATTTTTTCCTTGAACACCATTTGCAAAAAAGGATAGAGTTTCACTTTAAGTTATAAGTCACAAAGCTACTGCAGTTCTATAAGCACAATTAATAATGATTAATAACAATGAAATGGAGGGCTGCCTTGAACTGGCATGATTCTGTCATCAGAGAACCTTCAGGTTGCCAAGGGACGTGCAGTTCTCTGCTGGTATCATAGACCACTGTGCTCAATTTTGAGGTTTGACAAAATAAAGTATGCTCAGAAGGGTTTGGGTAATTTCCTTTGGGAAATCAGCTCAGTAAAATCCAAGGTAATGCTCATATTTTAACTTATAAATTCACAAAATTAATGCTCCTCAAAACTCCTCATAACTAGGAACAGTATCCACATATGTGCACACACCCACATGACTTAGACCTCATTGGTATATGTGTGACATGAGTATTTTAAGCAAACACAAAACTTAGATCTTGACCAGAATTCTAAATAGAACTCATCTCTTACATGAAATACTAATTCAAGAGATGTGAATGCAATGGAGTAATTAGTATTAAATACAATTCTTCATGGCACATTTAAGAAAAGTTAAGTTATCTTAGTGTAATTTGGGAAGGAGGAGAAGACAAACTGTTCGGAATCATTAAAACTTCTATTGTGCCCATATTTTAGTGAGAGCTGTGTTAATATTATATGTGTGTCACAGCTTGTACCTATGACTGTACTTTAATTGAAATTAGTTGTTAAAAAAAGGTTTTCTGTGCTCCGATTAAAAAACAGCAACCTCCTTAGCCCTAAAAAACCTTTTCCCTTTATTTCTTTTGTTTCCCTTTTTAAGTCAAAGTTGATTAATAAAATCTTTTGCCCTACCCTACAAAAGCCACTGAAGCACACTTTTCAGCGGATGAAATGCTTGCAGGCCGTTTCAAACTTCCCTGCTCCCATCCTGTGCTGGAGAACAATTCCCCACGGGTCTCCTGTGTTTCTGCACATCTGTGAGCAGAGACACTGACAGCTTGCGTTCCCGACTATCTTTTTAAGAATGTGTGTATGGTGAGCAGTCTTGAAAGATAGAAGTAGTGTTCCCTGTGGAGCAAAGGGCAGGTTTGTTTACAGTCCAGTATAATAAAGATAATTTCTCCCTCTGTGGTAAAGGGCAGGTCTGCTTGCTGCCATTATTTTTTTTTAAATTGAATTTTCTAAGCTCAGGGAGCCTCAGCTATGACATAAACACACTGGGCATGTAGGTGTCACCCAGCTCACACCCTCTCACCCTGCAGTAATTGGGGGTTGGGGGACTGCTGCCGGAACATGACTATGCTCTGGCTAGTTCTATTGCTGTGAGTACTGCATGGTCCTTTGCCTCTGTCTCCCACCAGCACATGTGAAACTAGCAGATCTTTCAAAGTTCTTGCTATGATGTTTCTCCAGATTCTGTCCTGTTTTATATGTCTAAGGATTCTCTTCTCCACCCTCACCCAAAAATGGTGACTCATTGGCTGGTCATCTAAATCTTTTGGTTCAATTTCTCTCCACATTTCTGTCTTCTTAGTGTAAAGTCTCCACTTGTCCAGGAAAAAAAAAATTCAGGTTAAGTAATGTGACAATCAACTACAGTCAGAGGGATAAAAAAGGATAAGGAAGAAAGTGTGGATACAAAGGGAGTCTGGATTATACATGGAGTAGGGGCCTGTGAGAATCCTTACAGCAGCTGGATTTTCCATTTCATCCCACTGGAGATGGCAGTCCTGGGTGTGGGGTTCATTGTGGGCTGCATTGCTGGGCTGGGTGCCTTGCTGATTTGACAGTGAGACGTCACCTTTTCACTTCTTTGTGCTCACTGCTAAAATATGACTTCCTTAGTAGTTCTATTTTTTATCTCCCTTGCCACAGCTTCACCAATAAAATCAGTGAACTCATACATGGTTAGTGATAAAATAATCACATTTTCTACTTTCTTTTTTTTATCTCTAATTTCAGACAGTTCTAGGAGGATGAGTAATAGCCCTCTGCAACAGGAGTCCTGAGACTCAACAGCTACTTATTATAAATGCAGACTATTACTAGTCCACAAACTCCAAAGATTTTGATTCAGTAGGGTTCATGTGGGATGCATAATTTCTTTTTATTTTTAATGAGCTTCTTGGGTGAACCTAAAGTTTGTCTGCAGACTTTATGAGGTATCCTGCCTCTTGATCTTGTAGTAGGTGCATTTGCTCATTCTCACAGAGATAGTTCAATACTAAATGTATAGATTAGTCACAGACAAATCTCAGTTGATGGCAGAGATTTGCCCTGGAAGACTCAACTTCCAAGGATATTTAGATAGTTATCTTTGGCCCATGAAACTGAAAGATTCATATCAATATTTTTTTTAAAACTGCTTTGTTTTAGAATTTTGGCATATGTGTGGGACAATTTCTTCTGATCTATAGAGTGATACTATGTATGAATTATTATAAATGGAATAAAAAATCAAAAGCTATAGCTTGTAAATACTTGGTAAAACACTATTACCCCAAGAGTACTTTATTTGAATAAATTAAAGAATATAAAAACTTTGAGAGAAAGACTATGGGGATATTTTTGAAAAGTAAATACTATTGCAGTCGTGGCTATTGACATCATAAGAGACAAAACAGGATGTTAATGAAAAAAGGTCTTGAATCAGTGTTTTGGACACATTGAAACAAAGGGTGTAACAGGATGATATTGACAGTTCTGCAGATCTCTTATTGTTTTGACTTCCTAATAATTACATTTATGAGAAAATTTATTTTTATCAATATTTTTCAAACTAAATATAGTTAAATAACCTAAGTAATAAGAACAGTACAGTATTATTTTTTTGAGTACAAATAATACAGCTCATTTCTACCAGGTTTGATTAGGAGATTCATACTTATATTGAGACAAAATACACTACAAGTGAAACCTATGAGAATGAAGGAAACACCACATGTCTGTGATGCTTTAGAGATGAGGATACCACAGTTTAGAATGCCTGAGACTAGGATGATATTGGAAACATTTCCATCTGCACATGAAACTGAAGTATGATGGGATATTTGGAATAATTGATGTTACATAAAAGAACCTGACCAATATTTTAACATACCATATTTTTCAGACTATAAGATGCACCCCTCCAAATTTGGGAGGAATAATGGTTGTTAATGCTGCTGTTGAGTTCTGTTTACATTTACATTGGTGAAATATTATGTTATTTATGTTATTAAATATTTTGCCACATTTTTTGCTTCACAATTTTTTTCCTATTTTCCTTCTCTAAAACCTAGGTGTGTCTTATGGTCTGGAAAATACTGTATATACATCTTCATAGTAAATAGGTGATCTTTATCAATAAACGACCTATTAAAAACAGCAACATAAACTTCAGACAGCATTTTTAAGTGGTTTATTTTTTCTCTGAGATTATTCTGATAAAAGGTGATGGGACTTACAGTTTACGACAACTTTTACTTTCTTCACATCTGGGAATGACACATCATTTTCTGCACTGCATTCATATTCTCCAGCCTGGTCCCTGGTAATTCCATAAATGTCCAAATACTGTCCATTTTCAAAAGGTTTTGCTACAAGAAAAAAAATACAGCATGTAATTGCCTGAAGCTTCATACAAGTAAAACAACAATTTTATGTCTTCCTAGTAGATATTGCTGACAAAACAATTCCAAATGAAACTGGGGAATTATTAGAATCTTTGTTCTCCTATGTTGAGAGGGAAAGTCAGAGAAAAAAGCAGAAACTGAACAAGAGATACTATAAAACTGTCTCCCCAAAATAGGATATACATGTGTACTTTTTAATTGATTGTGGTCTCCTAACCTTGTCACACATCAAATAGAGCTCTGCGCATTTCTGTAATTGAGTTCAACAACCTCCTAGCAGTGTAGAAGAAATTCACTAATATCACCTGGTACATATTGACTTTTACACACTGTATGCTAGCAACTTGACACTTAACCTAACTAAATGTTGCTTTTCTTTTGGGGAAATCTCATACTCATTCTGAAGATTTCAAGCCAGATGGTTTGGTAAGAGGATAGAAGTATAATAAACTGTTGTGATGTTTCAGTTTCCAAAATTATTAACTTTTCCAAGAGAGGTACACTTTATGTATTATATATAACCCACACAATAAACCTAAAAAAATCTTTACAGCTCTCAAACTAAAAATTAAGTTATCATAAAAACACACAAAATTATCATTATTTTTAATATTTCAGGGAAAACATACTGTTTGACTAAAAATGGCAGTAGGTTAAAAATATAAAGATATAATCACAATGAAAGAATATCTTCAAATGAGTTTGATTTGGGGAAAAAGTGTACTTTTGCAATAATGGAATTTTTATTTACTTGAAAGCAGAGAATCATGGCAAAGGAAGAATGGACCTATGTGAATTTCAAGAGGCGGGACTCATCTCCCTGCCTTGCACAAATTTTTAAAACTCACATTTCAGAGCATACAAGAGAGAACTGAAAAATGAAACAATGATGCCATTAAATGTTCTGTTTTCTAAGTCAATCTTATTTTTGTTTTCATCTTACACTGCCACCAAAACTATTATACTAGAGCATAGCTTATAAAGTAGTAAGAAAGCTTAAATTCATATGAGTAAAAATTTTAGTTATGGTAATTCAAATCTCAATTTAATTTTTTTGTCAATTAAATTTAAAAAAATTTCTGTGGGCTCTGTTACCTGGATCAGAATAAATTGCTGCTCTGTCTGCCTTCCACATAATTATGACTTTGCTAGTTACAACCTGGAGTGTTAAAATGTATATGATTAATTCATTTCTCACTTTCTTTTCTGGCTAATCACAACTTGTGGATAGGGGAGAGTTACACTTCTCAAATGGTGGTTGGTGGATTAAGCTATTTCAGGTATAAGAAATAAACTTTAAAAAGCTGCAGTTGTCTTCAACGCCCATCTTCTTAAAATCTGACTTTATAATCATTTTCTTAGTTCAACTCAGTGGCCTTATCTGACTCCAATATACAAAGAAAACTTTGGTTTTCTCTTGTTCCCTTCTATTTCTCTTATTTTCATCCTTATAATAAAGATAATCTTGTCTTAAATGTGTCTATAAAAACTACTAAAATGTAGGGAGGAGAGAATCCCTATTCACATTCTAGAATTTTTAAAGATAACTGGAATTGTAAAATAAGGGCACTATTAAGTGGAAATATGCTGTATCAGTATATCAATTAACTAACCTAGCTGAGTAGTTCAAAATGAAGCCAATCACAAGTTAAAGTGTATACTATTGTGAAACTTCGTAAAATCAAAGTTATTATGGCTTAACTTACTTTTAATATTAAAATTTTACTTGGATTTTCCTACTTTTGTGTACTGAAATAATTTTTAAAATTGTGTCCCCCCAAATGCATTTAAATAAAAAGCATGCATTATACCTGTTTGAATAATCAACTATTATCTAATTCTTAATGAATCATTAAATATGGTGTGTGTGACTTTATGTGTTAGTGTTTTTGTTGTTTAAACATTGAAGACATATGAGCAATTGTTCTTAAAGTATGGAAGGATGGGAAGAAGCACATTAGATATGAATGTCCACTGGGAACCACAGTATAATGACAAGAGAGAAACTGCTTCCCTTTTTCTTAAAGGGCTAAATGGCAGACTTTGATGAATTGGGAGCAACCTCAATAAGCCGTATGACAAAAACATCACCAACATCAGAACCACTTCATGAGTTAACTGCGGAGAACACCATTTATAGCTACTGAATATGCTTATTCCTGGGGTTCACTATACAATCTACCTAACAATATTTCAGGATCCTTCTCAACTCCACCATAGAACAATGTTCCTCTTTCCAACTACCAGAATTAGTTGTAAGTGTTAATGCATTTCATAACTCAATTGCTGTACAACCAGTGAATGAATGGTCTTGCCAACACTATCATTGATGTAATACTAATACAAAAACACTTATGAAAAATGCCTTGGCTGGTGTGGCTCAGTGGATTGAGCACCAGTTTGTGAAACAAAGGGTCACTGGTTCAATTCCCAGTCAGGACATATGCCTGGGTTGTGGGCCAGGTCCCCAGTGGGGGGCATACAAGAGGCAATCACACATTGATGTTTCTCTCTGTCTCTCTCCCTCTCTGTCTAAAAAACAAATAAATAAAAATCTTTAAAAACCACTTAGGAAAAGAAAGCATAAATTCATAGCTAACTTCATTTTCCCCACTGGGTCCCGGCTGCTTTAAGCCACCCTGTTGCTTACATTCACCATGCATCAGATATCCCAAAACACATGCTCTGAGTATTCTCTTGTTTTTACACACATAGCTCTGTAGCCATCCTGAACTCATCCTCGTTCTCTTTTCAGGCTGATCTCACCAGGCTTTTAAACTCTGAAATTCACTAATTGTCCACAGTTGGCTTGGCTGCCTCTTTTTTTGTTGTCCTCTGTTTCCCTAATAGTAATTCTTCACCTGGGTTTTGGAACCAAGGAAACCAATCCTCTTTAATACTTGGATGGGTTGCCCTAGTTTCCTATCGCTCCCTCACCAGGGGAGAGGATTTGAGCATAGCACATCAAAATGCAAAGGACATGTCAGTTTATGCAATATAACCCAGCTAATCTCCCCAGCTGGAGGGGAAAGGCCAAGGTGGAATGGATATTGGAAGCAAAAGACATGAGGACCATCACCAAAGCTGAGCCTTTATGTTTAGGAGGATATATACTACTGTAGGCTGCTCCTTACAAATCTGGATGAAAAAGAAAAACATTGTGAACATTGTGCAACATGTCTATCTTTCAGGGTACCAATATAAGTATATGTTGATGAAATAGAAATGCATCGTGATACGGCCATCCTCTTCCGGTCTCAATGTTATCATTCTCTATGAGTGCAACAATAGCTCCTGTGTCCTCAGCTCTAGTGTATGTCTAAAATGCCATACTCTTGGTAAATATTTATTAAATAAATATATAAAAGTACATTTATAAATGAATTAATAAGACCCTGTAAAGACAGAGCACAGAGAATCCAAACACTTAGATTCAAAGAAGTTACTACTTCTCTTTAGGAGTTGTGAAGAGGGAAAAGAAATTATAAAAGAATTGTCATCTTTGCTGACATCCTAAAGTAATAGGTGATGGCAGTGGTGAGAGCAGACTACAGTTTTCATAGATCCTTTCTCAGATCACAAAGACTAAGAAACTTTCAATATGATTTGAAGAAAAAAAAGATAAGTACTCCCTATATTCTAAACAATGGCTTCCTTATGTGTTTAGTCTCTTCTAGACACAGGTATACTTTTCTTAAAAAACGAAGAACTGAAGAGATACCATAGGCTTTCAATAATGCCACTATTATCACCATCTTCAAAAAGAAAGATGAAAAAAAAATAAGATGTAGCCATGCTTTCTACGCTTTCATAAGAACCCTGGCCAGAAAGATTTATGTGGTGGCCACTAAAATGATATCTAGATTTGGCTTCATGATTGATCAGGCATATGAACCATACTTTCTGCAAAGTAAAAATACATTTCAGAAAAAATATTTGGCAAAATAAATCTTGCTTTTATTATTTCCTCAACTAGTTTTTCTCTCGCCTTCCTGGCCATTTCCTTTCATGTTTTCATATCCATCAAATATTGTTTCTGTCTTATGACCTCTATTTTTCTCACTGAGGACACTATTTCAGGGCATCCTGTTCATTCATTAGCATTTTATTCCTATTTGTATATTGATACCTCCATGATTGATGTACTTAGTCCATATCTATATCTTGAAACTTAAACACATATTGAACTGGACATCTCCATATGGAAGACTCCCAGACATCTCAAAGTCAACACACCAAAAACAAAAGTACCTTCCTTGCCTCAGCTGCAGCTCCTTCTGTGTTCCAAGACTCCAAGGGCTTTCATTATCACCCAAGTTCTCAAGCCAGAAACCTTATTACTAACTTTGACAATACATTTTATCTCAGTGCATTCAACCATCAGTCACTGCATCCTGTCAATTTTGTCTCCTCAGTCATTCTCAAACCTCTTCTAGGAGCCCCTGTGTCTCACTTACTGATCTCTGAATGCATGTATTCAGATGACATACCAATGATTGCATACTGATTTGCAGAGTCATTTCATCCATTTTCTAAAACCCTTGCTCAAAAGAGTCACCCACTTCTCAAGGTTTCACTGCAGTGTATTTCATTAGGGTCTCATAGCTGTCTATTACTAGATAGTGCTTTGCAAGTTACCTTTCAAAATATCCTTGGAATGGTGTATTTACATTCATGATTGTAATTATTTCCTGTCAGCTTACTGTCCACCAGCATATTTAGTTTCCTGCAAGTATCTCCTCTATGGACTGTATCATAATAAGTAGTTAAGGATGTGGGTTCTAGAATTAGTCTATCTGGCTTCAAATCCCATCTCTGCTGTATATATATATATGACTTTATACCAGGAATTTAACACTTGCTTTACTCATCTATTATGTGTGAGAATAACAGAACCTGCCTCATATAGATGTTGTGACGCTTAAGTGGGTTAACACAAGTAAAGAATTACTATGATATGACTT